AACAGATACAACAACACATCCTTCAACAGTGACATCAACTGCTGCAGGAACTACTACTGCAGGAGTTTCCACAACAGCGCCACAGACGACAACTACTGCAGTACCTGTTGTGAGTGCTTCTTCAACCTCTATTAAAAGCACCACTGTCAGTACAGCCACAACATCCACAACACCAACAGCTACAACAACAGGGCCCTCAACTACCACAACAACTGCTGCTGGAACATCCACCACCAGTGGAATATTTATCACAGCAGTGCCACAAACACAAACGTCTTCTTATGCCTCAGTCACTGAATCTTCAACAGCCTTCGGAAGTACAACATCCATACCAGGTCCTGCTACTAGTGGAGCAGTTACCATGACATCACCACCAACGTTTATTTCATTCTCTCCATCATCAAATGTCTCTGAGAGCACATCTGTTAGTACCATTGAAACATCCGCAACAACAAAAGGATTCTCTGCACTTAAATCAGAAACTTCTGTTTTTACTTCAGCAACTCCCTATTCTACCTTTAACACTACGACTGGTAGCACAGCTGGAACATCAACAAATTCATTTGCCTCAACCACTAATATAACCACTCTCTCAACCACTAATGCAACAACAACAAGACCCTTGACATCTACATTTATAGTGCCTACGACTACAACCACAAAATTTGTACCTGTGTATCTAACAGCTCTGGTGTTCCGCTCTTTTGACACATTTATAGTTGAACTCAATGATTCAAACTCGCAGTCCTTCAAGTCAAGAGCTGAGTTTGTCAGATCTCAGGTGAGTTAAAATAAACTTACAAGATTCACAGGTGACACACAGAAAATATCTTGCCTATAAATTAAGAGAACAGACAGCAGACATTTTAAACCAAAGCCAAACATATACAGGAGTTTGTTTGGGTATTGTTATTATTTAAATTGTTTAGTTTACCATTAATTAATGACACTTTGTGTGTATCTCAATCAGCTCCCTAGCTCGTGAATCAATATATCGTGTACACGAATTCGGTCACTGGTAAGTACCCTGGCTCACTGCACATTGGGACAGTGATTACTCAATTTTTGGTGACATGACTATGTACAACGTCAACGGACAACATTGTAGAACGCCACCGATGTAATTAATCAACAACAGGGAGGACCAATCGTTTTTATATTATTTTTTATTCTCTTTAAACACATTCTTCTTTTACATGTTCTTACAACATTTCAACCAAATATTAATTATAAATGTTAACAAGATGTGATCATTACCTGTGTAGCGATGTGTGTTTATGTTGAAATATACCAATAACATTTTTCTTCTTCTATC